CCCCAAAACCCCAAAACCCCAAAACCCCTTAAGAGTAGAAATTTGTCTAAATTTTAAGTATTAAACTTTAAATTAGCATGAGTTAAATTGATTTATTAATGGATAAAATGTATATCACTCCTGAAGGTAAACTGACCCTGTGAGACTCTAAGTTTGTATTGACTCCACAATCACATTTAACTATCCCGGGTTTATAGTCAAACTTTCACACAAGTCAAGACAAACTCAAAGCCCCTAATTTAATCTGTCCCCCCACTAAGGATATTTGAAAAGCATACGTATGGTAATTTATTCTTGATTTAATATTACAATCTATATTTCATATTCGAGAAGAGCCTTATGCTGTCCTTTTCTTCATCGCTCTCTCAATTTTCCTGAAAAATCTGTCCCAATTTTTTTAAGGTGGGTCGTCTCCTCGTTACTTAGAGAATACGAGTTCACCTTTGATTGGACATTTAGTATCAAGATTACCCTCTTCTATCATGGAAATATTTATGTCTCTGATAATTGTAATATCAAGTCTCCTTGTCACTTCCATATCCTCTATCATTATTATCTTGAAGACGCTGTTGAACTCTGGCCTGCTTTTAAACTATTTTACTATCTCAGCAGCCAACCTGTCAAATCCTCATGTTGAACAGTGTTAGACTAGAAGTAGAGCTTTTTTATTGGTAACTCTCCCTAGGCACTTGGTACTGACGAGGCCCATCCAAATATTGAAGTATTTCTTAAATTATTATTATTATACTAATGCTTGAATCAGCGAACTAGTATAATTATCACAGTTGATAAATAATCACAAAATCTTATATATATAATATCTTTAACATGATAATTCTCTGTCCTAAATTTAAATTACAAGAGTTGAAGTCATAGTAAGGATAAAAATAATCTTCTGAAGACTTAATATCAGATATAAATAGTTAAACAGACATTATTATCAAATAGTGGAAGGTGCTCCAGAAGTTTTACATAATGTTAATATATAATACATAAAATTAAGAGCTTAAATGTTATCAAATGATTTAATAGGATGATTAGATTATTAGGAGCTCTTACTAAGTTAATATAATTCATGCATGTTTGATCGTCATTTTTGACTCTGGACGTCAGTATACTGGTCATCCAAATCTGGCTTGCTTCATTCTTGCACAAAAGCAAAGGTTGGATTGCAGCAGATACCTTTGTTGCATCTTTTAGGTTTGCATTCCCCGTCAGCCTTGCACTTTTTGACTTGATCAACAATCACGTGATGTTAAAGCAAGTCTTCTGCGAAAACTGGGAACTTACAGCACCCTTTAATACACCTCTTACCCCCAGTACATTCTTTGTCACTTTGGCATTTTTAAACAGGAGGTGCTCCAAAGATTTCATCAATCTCAATATCAGGAGTTTGAGTCTCAGTGTCATTTGATTATACACCTTCAATTTCTTTTAATTCAGTCAATGGTGGGTTTGTCTCGCATGTACCAGAGAAGCATGACTGGGAATCACTACAGTCTGAGTTAACTGTGCACGCAAGTTTGCCATGTGGTGGGCCTCCATGGATTTTAGCAGTAGAGCATTTACCCTCCAAGCACAAGCCGCCATTGCACTCATCGTTGTACTCGCAAGTTACTTAATTGGTTTTGGCGAAAGCAACAGCTACTAGGAGTGATGCGCCAAACAAGATTCTTTTCATTTGTTTAGGAGTTATATTAAATATTATTATTAATAAATTAAGGATCCACTCACACATAGTGGTAGACGGTATTTGTAATTAAATTTCAAATTTCAACTTGAAACCTTTAATTCGGCATATTGGGGTTTTGGGGTTTTGGGGTTTTGGGG